TGGTAATCTTGGTAATCTGCAACTGTTTGTTTTGCTAATTCCTTTTTACTCTCACTTTGATTACTTTATTTTTGGGGGGAGATTTATGCCGTTTTTAATCTGTACCTGCTAACAGTTGGAGCTGGGAGATCCTGATTTCTATAAGATAGGTTACGTTAGGAGTATGCGAGCTTATGGAATTGAATTCAGAGAAGGTCCTAATGGTTTTGGAGTGCCTCTAAAGACGTTGAGCCTCTTCGCCGTGCCAGGGTACTTTCTCGTTTGCAAATCATTTTTCTGCTTTTCAACTGAGGATTTGTGCATTTCTTTATTTTCTGCCTTAAAATTAATGTGCTCTCAAAATGATTTGCTTCTCTTGTTTCTGCTAATTGATTAATGCTGCAATCGTCTTCTTGGCGTTGTGTAGGTGATTATGGAGATTCCATTAGAATTAATGTTATCCATAAGCCAGAATCTTCCTTGGATGTTTTTCCCTGATATCATACCAATTGGTCATCCAATCTTTGATATTATCAACTCAACCAATCTTGAGGTATATTCTTTACTATCTGATTAGCTGTTCATTATGTCCTTAGCTAGTAGCCTTCTTACTGGATTCATGTTTATTATGTCAAGCCCATTCGTTGACCTATCTGATAGTAATTTATAGCTCCTTTGTACATTATACTTTTTTGTTTTCTGTCAGACAGATTGGGACCTGAGGATGGCATGTCTTCTTTTATATGCATTTGATTGCAATGATAATTTTTGGCAGCTGTATGGCGACTTTTTACCTAGTGCTGATGAGAGTACTAACTTTCTTCTTGCTAAAGAGGTCTGAATTGTACCTGAATTGGTTCTAAATCTTTCAGTGGGCTAGAAATGTTCACCTTTTTTTGCGTCTTCAGATGCTTCATTTATTCAAACTTGAACAAATTGCAGGAGGACCTTTTAGAGTTACAGGACAAGCAACTTGCTTTCACATTGAGAGAACAGCAACTAAGAGCTTTGGAATTTTGGGAGAAAAATTGGGTATGAAGCTCTCTTTTATATTGTCAAATATACAGAATTATTGGCATCCTTTGCCCCAAGTTTAACCCTGGAACTTTGTCAGCACTCTGCTGCACCCCTTAAAATAAAACGCCTTGCTCGAGAGCCAGAGAGATTCATGTGGGCATTGAGTATGGCACAATCTCGAACCATCAACATGCAAATACGAATAGGGGCCCTAGTTCAAGATACAAATTTGCTTGTCCCTTATGCTGGTTAGCCTCTTTCGAAACGATTATTTTTGGGAAACAAATTGAATTTTCCTTCGACCAAGATAAAGTACAGCAGTGCCTAACAATGTTGTGATATTGGTTATTTCTAAATCTGAACAAGTATTTTGCATTTCGGCTATCAACCACTTCTCATTATATATTGATGTGGTGAGACAGAGATGTTCAACACAAACCTACTTTTATAATTCTGTACTAAATATATTAGTGGAACTGATATTAGGTTCTCCAAATTTAAGAACATAATTCAAGTGATCTTGGTAACTTGACAGAAGCTGACTGATGACTATGCTTGATACTCTCTTCTAGATATGTTGAATCATTCTTTCCAGCCGAATTGTTTCTTTCACTGGCGTTTCAGAGATCGAATGCTTGAGGTGATGATAAATGCTGGGCAACGAATAAAAAAAGGAGATGAGGTATACAGTTTAACGTGCTCTGATATCATTGCTTATTATGTGATTCTTAAACTGCCATGATATCTGTGCAGATGACTGTCAATTACATGGATGGACAGATGAATGACATTTTCATGCGAAGATATGGATTTTCGTCCTCGGTGGTAATTCTCTGTAGTCTATAACCCCCATATGATGGCTCTTTGAATATGTAAATAGCGGCCTCTCCCTTTATTCTACGTGAGGTTGCAGACCGGTGTATAATGGATATGCAAACATTAAGATATAATTAAATAGAGCACGTATAGATGGGTCAAATTTTTGCCATAATGCTCTGGTTTCGTAAGACTTGTAGTATTCAGAATCCATTCCTTTGGGCATGTCATCTAAAATCTTATTCCTAAAATTTTGCAATACTTACAATTATCTTTCCTAGCTAATTGAACTCAAAATTTTGCCTTCAAATTGTCTTTTTTTAAAGAAAATCATGTTCTGCACGACTCATGTTCGGCAACTTCTACAAGTTTGTTTAATTTAGCCCCATTGGTTGAATGCTTTTGTTCAGTCGATATCGTACTTCTTATGTTAGACTTACTGTTTTCTTTGTCGCTATTATTTTGTTCGCTTCATACACCTTACCTTTGTAATATCAATATTGCAGAATCCTTGGGATGTTATCCAGTTCTCCAGCAATGCACGGGTTCATTTGGATTCTTTCTTATCTGTCTTCAATGTATCTGGTCTTCCTGAGGATTATTATCACAACAGTATTAATACGCTACTTTAATAATTTTTAATACGCTATTAGCAAATACAGAAAGATATATTTTTTTCCCTATGATTCATGAACCAGAACCTTAGTAAGTATGTCCGATGTTAGGTAAGGTAGCTCATGGTGGGGATAACTTTGTTGATGGTGCGGTTATTGCTGCTGCAAGAACTTTGCCCACTTGGTCAGACGGAGACGTCCCTCCCTTACCAAGCATGGAAAGGAAAGCTGTGAAAGAGTTACAGGAGGAATGCCATCTAATGCTTGCTGAATATTCTACAACTGCGGCTGAAGATCAGCAAATTCTAGGTACAATGTTCCATCGACAGTTTAGTTTTACTCGACCTCATAATTGTTCTGCTTTTTTAGGTTTTACTAATATTGTTGTACCTCTCTATTCTTTGTTAAAAGCAAGATCAAAATATTATTTTTTCCATATGTTGTAAACCTATGGATTGGTGATGGTACAGCTTGATACTTATACCTCTAGGTCACATTAACTGTTCCTTAAGTTGAGAATGAGTGGAAATGACAATGTTACTGTTGATGGGATATACTGGTTTGCAATCACAGCATATTCACTATCCATATTAATATATAATTTATCATGCAAGTTGCAAAGTATGTTGCTGTATGTGAGTTTTAGTGGACATTCTTCTTAAAACTTTAGAAATTTCTTTAGATGATATGATCAAGTCTAATCTGAAATACTGTTGTAACGTTAAGTATGGTTCATTACCTTCGTTTTTCGCTGTAGAGTCCAATCCTGAGGCTAGGAGGACCCTTGAAGCTGCAATAAAGTATGTCTTTTCCCTCATTAAGCCCAGGTAATATGTGATGTTGACAGGTATCCAGCTTAACTCTTCGTGTTTTGTATGTGTAGGTATAGGTTACACAGGAAATTGTTCATAGAGAAGGTTATTCAGGCACTGGACGTTTACCAAGAACGGATATTATTCTAAGAATGGAAGCAAACTCTTGGCAGACTGAATGCCTAGAAGATGACCTTTATGCTGGGAAATACAACGTGTTGGTTGACCAGGAGGCGGGGAAGGAGAATTGGCATTGAGAGGTTGTCTTATAACTTGGGCTTTTGTAGTCTCTTTCCATATATTGAAGGGGAAGCATTTCTTTACATAAAAATCTTTGTAACCTGTACCATTATGTACCTGTGACATTTAGATGCACACTATCAATTCTGATTAGTGGGTGCTAGGTTTTTGTGTTGATTACTTTGATGGAATAGTAAGCTCTTATTATTCTTTGATTATGCTTTAGACATAATTGGACACCAAACGACAGTACACAAGATTCTTTTTGGTTGCTTGATTAGTAAGATTGAGATAGTGGAAGGAAGGGAAATGGCAAGCATGTCTAAGAAAGTGATAAACATCAAAAAGTGAACATCACATACAAGGAGACCAATACAATTGCCAGCTGCTCACTATGCAAGCTTGTTAACGTCGCATACAACGTGTTAACCCTCATTTTCGCAAAAACAAATCACCGAGATACTAATAAAGCCGCTCACTCAGTGCGGACACCATCATCAAACAACTCGATCTTTTTCCTAATTGCATTGGCTGTCCCAAAGCCCCTGCCGAGGAATATACATTTGAGAGCAAAACCAAAAAGTACTTGCAGGCAACATTTGGTTCTAATAGTAGCAAATTATGGGCTAAAATTTCTCCTAGCC